GCACCCGTCCGAAGTCTCATCTGCACTCAATCGAGCTACTTCCTCTACGCAGCTCGCTGTTTCTCCCTGTACCGTTGACCTCCCTGTATGAGGCGGCAATGGTCGGCTGGGTACACCGTGCATGCATTTTTCCCCCCCGTCACTCCCCTCACACGCCGAGTAACCGCCTCAGCGCTGGCGCCTCTTCCCCGCGCTTGCATACGCGGGTACACCTTGCTCGTACTGAGTGCGTCCCCCCTCTCTTCGCTGCCTTCCCCTATATGYTGCGACCGTAGCCTTTTACGAAGCACATGCTGCTGAGGGCCCGGGTACCCCCGTACTGTGGGAATTTCAGTCCAACGGTACCGATAGGCGTTGCAGTCGAAATCAAAGAGAACTTTCCTAGTTACCAAATCAGAAACTGTGCCGAGCATAATGGTACTGCGGCCCCGTGACCAGGGTGTATTGGCCCCAGGACCGTACCAGTCCGGTGACAGACCAAAGCCTCACGCCAGTGCCGTACATACCCAAGATGATGAAGAGGGCCTCAATATTGAACTGTTGAGTCCCATTGACATAGCCGTCTGGGACTGCAGCTACTGGCCGCGGTATTTTGCAGCAACTGTTCCGTGATAATACCTCCGACCGTAGCACCCGTACCAAATCAGACCAATCATTTGGAGTCGTTTTTCACACACACATCCGATTGTTGTCGCAGAGAACTATAATAGCCCGTACCGTGTCAGCCGACCCCAATCCGAACCAGAAAATTAATGAGGCAATGGCTTCGATGCTGAAATAAATTGTCGTGTTGGTGCTGATCCGGAAGTAGACGGTCGGAGTCACGTCGAAGTTGTTCCGACCCTGAAATAAATCAATGTGGTGGTTCCAAACCGGATAATAAATCACCCTGATCTGCTCGAGCCCGAAATAAGTTGATGTCGAGCCCTTGTCGAGCTGCAAAAAAAATATGTCGGTGTCGAGTCATACCGAATCCGAAATCAATGGCCGCGATAGCACCGTACCCGGGATAAACCGCCATGGCGGCGGCGAAGCTGAAATAGATCGCCGTAGCAGCCCCAAGCCTGACAATAAATCACGCTGATATGTACGAACCTGAAATGCACTGATACTGAGTTCAACCCGAACCAAAACACCGAATTATAATCGGAACCCTTCCGAACCGGTGTCCGTACCGACCCAAATATCATACCATTGGTCCAAAGCAGCACCGTCTCACGCTGCCCATGTGACCATCCTCGGACTGACTCAGAGGGTCAATAGTCAGGTAAATCAAGAGAACRACGCGGAAAATCCTGATCATCAGGGGATAGTAACAAAAGGGGTTAGAGTTCAGAGAATTTGATCAACTCGGGGTTCCGGGTTGACGGTGGGTAATCCAAACAAAATCAGGCCAGGCATCGAATAGTCAGTAGTTCATGTTGGTTCCGTCTTTGTTTTAATCATTTCACTCTCTTCCTAATTCTATTGCCTGAATTAGTATAATAGTCGCAATTTCACAAAAAATAAACACTTAGGGGTTTTAAATCAAATGATTGAAATTCTTTTGTTTCCCTTTTTTTTTTTGTCATGTTTAATCTCTTTTCTTCGTTTTTTATCTCGTTGCCGGAAACGTAAAATAACGACGGAGTTTCTACTAAAATTAAATGCTATGGAAATTATAGAAATCAAAGAATATTTTGTTTTTTTCTCTTATCCCACCATCTTTAACCGTCTCTTCCATTTTAATTTCGGCATCAAAATTGACAAAAATTTGAGGCATCACTCAGCCCCGATCGTGTGTTGCAAAAGGCATTACCGCGGGGTCAGTCCCCGCGATGTCTCTTAGCGGCCGGTCATTTCAGGTCTAGCCTCGGGATGGGCGGAAGTGACGGTTCCAAGATATGCCGGGAGCGGCTACCCATTTTGCCATCTTTGAGGGTTACTCGTAAGGTTCAATGCGCACAAAATCAGGGGTGCCCTGAGTTCCCCTAATTTTTGTTGCCTCATGAAACCAGAGTACCATCAAAACACACACTTGTTTTTGAGCCTAGGTCCCAAAGCCGTAGGTTTCAGGCGGCCCATCCCTTGTGGCCGCCTGACAGTTAGCCCGGACCTCTTCTCGACGCCCCCTTCGAGCCCTAGCAACTTACGTCAGACGAAGCGGACGAGCTTCAGGGTGATGGCCCGTAAAGGACCCCCACGTCGGCGTTCAATTGTCTTATGTTTCAGTTTGTTATGAGTCCTGGGGCTAAGAAGATGCTTCTTGACTCTCCTGTTTCTTCTAGTTTTTTGCCCCGGCACGATCCTCTTTTTCTTATGTCTGTGCCCCGAAAAGGCTGTCGACCCGCCAGTACGTCTAACGCGAACTCTCCGTCTAGCTCGCTTGAGCACGAATAACCATCTCTTCTCTCTTCCTAAAGCTAACCCTTTGACCTTCCTCTTCTCTATTCTTTTTCTTTTCTTGGAACTCTCCCCTACCTCGAATTGCCTCAAAGGGGATCCTTCGTCCATTTTGGTTTTTCCTTTCCCTTTCGGGCTGGTCAGCGATAAGGCGAGCGCGGGCCTGGGCCTAAAGAGCTTTAACCTAGCGCCTGCCACAGGGTCCTTCCACTTAGATCCATCAAATTCTGCTATCATATATGCACCCCAGTCGAGTGCCTCAACCACTCTGTAAGGTCCCATCCATCTATTTGCGAGTTTTCCAGTCCAAGTCCTCTCCAGTGCCGCGTCGTAGAGAAGGACCATATCTCCTACGCTCACCCTTTCTTTCCTGATTCGCACGTTCTTATCCCATCTCTCTTTACCCTTGCCCATTTCCACTGCCAGACGATCTGCCGCTGTCATGAGGTTATCTTCCAAACCGTAGGCTATCTGTCTTATTCGGGCAGCTAAGAGTTCCTCTCTGGACATCTCCTCCGCCCAGTCGACGGTTGTCCAGCTGTCGACGTGAAACTCTATGGGAAGCGGACAATGTCGCCCAAACCACAAGGTGTACGGTGGGTATCCGATACTAGCCCGGACCGTGACGTTGTCTGCCCATATTACGTATCGAAAATATCGTGGCCAATCATTGTCCTTATCCTTGCACCACTTGGACACTAACGCTATCAGAGTCTGGTGTCCCCTCTCTACTATGGAGTTCGACTGTGGGTGATAGGCGGTGGCTATCGAAACTCTCGCCCCGGCTGTCCTGAACACGCTCTGAACCTCATCGGCTAGGAATTCCGCCCCTCTGTCCATTACTATCTTGCTGACACAACCATACCTAGATAAGTACTCTAGGACGAAGTTCTTCACTTCCCTTGCCGCCTTACTCCTGATAGGTCTACCGTCCACGAACCCAGTGAAATCGTCTCGTATGTTCACGACGTAGTTCATATTGCCTACCACTTTCGGCATTTTCACTAGATCGATGTGTACCTTCTCTCCTGGTCTGGTCGGATAGGATGGATGAAGTGGCTCTTTGCATTTCACAAGAGCTCTCTTCTGACACTCTTCGCAGGTCCTACAATACCTCTCGTCTTCCTTATACTGTCCTTCCCACCAGTACAACTTGTGTACCTTTTCGTAGATTCCTTTGACTCTCCTGTGTCCTCCGACTACCCCGTCGTGAAGCTCCGCAACTATTGTCTGTCTCTCCTCAGGGTCACAGACTACTCGTAAGGGCATCCCCAAGCCGCTGGGCCTTCGAAACAGATGGCCAGCTCTAAGGCAGTACTGGGCCGCTTGTCTCCGGATATCTGATTCTTGACTCTCCTTTCCTGACAAATGTAGTCCGATCATTCGGTATTTGCCCTCGTAAAGGTTAACCAGAAAACGCTCGGTGGGTCCTGGCTCCGCCATAGTCAGGGTCCCAACTACTATCGGGCGCTCGGCCTCAAGAGGGATGCGCGAAAGTCCATCCGCCATGGCATTTTTAGTGCCAGATATCCTCTCAACCGCGTAATCGTATAGCCGAATCCGTATTAACCATCGGGCGATGGTCGGGTCCGTCAGACTAAAGTCCTTCTGAAGGACAGAGGCAACCGCGGTGGGGTCTACTCTCAAGATGAACCGTCGCCCATAGATATAGTGTCTGAACGTGTCTAGACACCGGAGAACAGCTAACACTTCCTTCTTGAATTGACTGTAGTTACGCTCAGCCGTATTAAGTGTCCTACTCTCAAATCTTAACGGTCTTTCCTTCCCTCCAGCGTCCTTCTTAGACAGCAAACCACCTACTGAACATGGTCCACCATCCGTGGATACTATGAAGGGTCTCTCGGTCTCATCGTCAAAGAATGGCATGCCCAACACGCGTCCTCCCTCCTTAAATTCGTCTTTAAGTTCTTGCATAGCGATTTCCTGCGAAGAATCCCAGTAGAATTTTTCAATCTTTCGAAGGAGTAACCTCAATGGCTCAGCCTTCTCCGCATACCCCCGTATGAATATACGTCAGTAACCGACCACTCCTAGAAACTGTCGGACCTCGGTTGGGCTATGTTACGGTGACGGCCAGTTCAGAAGTTTGTCTAACTTCGCCGGATCTGCTCAGCGTCCTCTCGAGTCACAGATAAAGCCCAAGATCTTAATAGTCGAGGCGGCCCATCGGCTCTTTGTTCCGCTGACTATTAAATTCGCATCGTCCAGCTGCTCGAGTACCGCGCAAATATATGTTAGGTGCTGCTCGACGAATCTTCTAACTCCGTCTCATCCCTGTCTACTAGCCCTTTTATAGGAAAGTCATCCAGAAAAACTTCAACCTTATCAGGGATGAAGTCCTTGAGGACGGCTACCATGGCTCTCTGGAAAAAGGCTACCCCATTAGTCCAACCCATAGGGACAACCATCATTTGTATTAGTCCCAATGGCGTATGCATAGTCGTGAGGTGCCTGTCCCTAGGGTCAAGCGGTACCTCATCATAACCTGAGAACAGATCACAGATCGAATAAATTGACCTACCTGCGGCGCCTTCTGCCAGTAAATCGGCGTGTGGCACGGAGCCCACGTCTCGTATCGTCACCGCGTTGACCTTCTGAAGGTCCTGGATCCATCGGATCTTGCCATTCGGCTTTCGTAGGAAGAACCATCGATTAGCATAAGAGCTATCAGACGGCTCCGCAACGTGGGAAACCATCTTTTCTTTCAGGAAAGCGATAACTTATTCCTTCTCCTTCTAGGCGTATTTCCATCCTGCGTCATTCCAAGGAACATGTGGAATCGTGTAAATCCTCGCTGGCTTAGCCTATCGAGGGTCAATCCTACCGCGCTCTGCGTCGCTGAAAGCTATTGCCTTATCACATGTCTTCAGAATCTCTATCACGCGTTCTCGCTCCTGTGGGGTCAGATTTCCATCTCCGATGTCCATCCCTGTTATTCTCTCTTCCGTTAGGCATTGTGGCTCCTTTTTCTTTCTTTCTTTGATTTCTTTCGCGATCTCTTCTTCCGATATCCCTTCCAGTGCAGATCGCTCGCGGCCCACCGCCGCTGGCTTAACTTTTTGAGCTACTCGCTTGTGTCGCTTGGGTAGCCCTCCATAGGGGGCCGTGCCCTTAAAAAAGACACGGATACCACACC